CCTTATAGTGTAATTAGATTAGAGAGCCAAATTTTATTTTTTCTTCCTACCACAATAATCATAAGAATGCAATTTCAAAATTTTATATAAATAATATATAAAATATGAATGCAGTAATAATCAAATTTCTTGTAATAAATTAGTTGAATCATTACGTGTTATTGGAAAATTTTGAAAATTTTCAGTTTCGAAAATTTGACAATTTTTCAATAAATAGCTGATCTGTTTAATGTATGAAAAAATCTATTTGATTATTGAATAGCATTCTTTTAATAAAATTCCTACATTATTTATTAACATCGTATATGGAATTAATAGACCTTAAATGTATATATATTTTTTCTCTTTTTTTTTGTTTGAAATTTGCAGAAGTCTATCGGATTGTAAAATTTGCTTCATTTCTTATGCAATATCTAAATTCAAGTACAAACTAGTACAAACATTTAGTTCGTTTTTTAATTTTTTCTTCCTTTACATACATTCGCTTTTTTTAAGTATATCTATTTTTCAACCCTTATCCAGGTGTTTTATAAAAAAAATCTCTCTATTTACTTTTTATTCGTCTCCTGATATTTATCCGATGAGTGTTTGATTTGAGAACCCTTGCACAGCCTGAAGCTAAACGTATTAAAACGAAAATGGTCGTGTGATACGTTAAAACAGGGGTTGAAAATCCATCGAAATTTTGGTGTGGGGGGTAGTATAGGAAAATGTTTCCATTCTAATCAAATCGAATTACTAAAAAACCTTCCGTTTGCACTTTCACTCTCATGATGAAACAGAAAGAGAATTAAATGATCTAAAACAGCGAGATGTTGGAGTTAATTAGGAGGTAGATAAATGAGAACTTATACGATTTGTTAATGATTTAAAATACGAGTATTATGGTAGTAATGGTATGATTTGTTTGTACGAGGAATATTTCGAGTCTTGATATTTAAGTGTTTTTCACATTTTTTGCATAATTAGAATAAGACGTTGACCTATGTATTCACAAGGTGTAATAATCGGACTTCAATAAAGAAAATGTTTTAAAAAAAATTATTTTAAATTTCATACGTTTCAGTTACAGTTATAGTATTTCGTGGAACTCGAAATAAATAGGATCAAAAATATGAAAATTAATATTTTAGAAAAAAAGAACAGTACACGTATTTACAATTTGTTGATTCTAATCTTAAATATTTTTATTTCTGTTTATTTAAAATTAATTCTTCATTCACTCTCACTCTGTCATTGATTGGCAACTTAAGTAAAAAATCAAATAAATCACATCCCTCCCAAGTTTGTCAATCTAAATACTTCCAATATCTTCCGAAGCTTGAAATGGAAATAAAATATAAGTGATGGATCCTCTTGCAATGCAACAATATCAATCCATCCCCCACTGTGCTCGAAAAGCGAAAAAGGTTTCATGTATCCAGTATTTGAAATGATTCCCCTCATATTATGCATTTTATAAGGCTTATGTTTGATATTATTAAATCGCATATATATAAATGATTATTCGACATTGGCAACGAAACGAAATTCGCCCTCGCCCTTTTGCTTAGTTGAAATCATTTTAGTCCATATCTAGTTAGTCCTCTTTGGATGTGCCTTTGGCTAAATGAACTTTATAATTGGTATTTTAATAATGTAGGGGTTTAAAGGCAACGAAATAAAAGGGAGTTATAGTGACACTTACAAATTGAAATCAGGTACAGCGTCTGCAACAAAGAGATTAGAGCAAGTCGTATATTATACAGAAATTAGCATATGGTAGGAAGTGGGTACTTTATTTCGTCTGGACTTTAAGTCTGCTCTGGTTTGAAATCAATTTAATTATACTGATGAACTGATGATAGAACACTCTGTATTTAAAGGTTCTTGGATTAATTACAGATGCTAATTATAATAATAATTTATATAATGCATTGCAAGTTGAGCAAGGAAAATGTAAATGCGTGTGCTTCCACATACTCCAATGGACTAATTTCGAAAGATAACTAAATTATGTTTCCAAAGAAAATTTATTAGTCTCTAATTTTAATTTGGCTCTTTTTCAGTAGATAAATCTACAAAAACGACATAAAATTGTATACTAAATATTTCTGTAGTTTTATCCACTGATGAAGAGTTAATTTGGTGGAAATGCATGAAAGTCTAATATTTTTTTTTAATTTTGTTTTTTTTTTTAATTTATGTTTTTTCTCAATACGAAAGTACATTATTATTTATTTTCAAACAATTATTACTATACAATATTTAAAATCCTATTCCCTTACAAAAAGTAACGACAAACTTTAATATTTTGATGAACTTTTCACGCAGTATAAAAATTGCTCAAGTTGTCCTCTTATAAGCAAGAGGTGTTGTATACTATATTTTAAACTCTGTAAACTTATAATAAGTTTTTCTTCAAGAAAGCTATTAAATCTCGAACTTACTCAACTTTAGTAATCTTTGTCAATATGGCAAATGTTTATATGTATTTCAGTGCGATAAAGATTCCGGAATAATTCAAACAGAAAATATTTAATTATCTCGAATCGAACTGACTACATTTAAAATCTATTGCAGCGGCGCGAGTAATCGCATTTGTAATATTCCGATGGGTTTTGTAACTAAATGTAAATAATTGTAAATTATATTTGCATGTGTGTATGCGAACACCCTCTCGTTCCCAAGAATGATTATATTCAAGCTCACCCGGACATGTTTGTTCGAAATTTTCGATTCTTCAATATGCATATAATCATCCCTTTAACGGGGCGCCAAGGGCTCGATTCGATTTTCATAAATTGTGTTTATGTGAAAATAAAACGTGTCGGTGTAAAACAATACTTTCGATAAAAGTATACAACTGTACCTAATGAAATTGAATGTCCCATGGTAGTAATTATAAATTTAATTACTATTTCAATGTGATCGATAGTGTTAAATCTGGTTTAAATAAATACCTATTTTGTATTAATTTGTTATGTGAGAGCATTAATTTGTTTTTCTGTCTGTATATTATTTCAAATGGAATATAATTATCTTTGCGTATCACAAACGGTGTCAATTTTGGATTTAATGCTATTATGTTTATTTGAAATTGTAATGGTAATGCATATAGAAGTTTTCACGTGTATGAAATTTAATGTATTCGAATATCAATATTATTGCGTTATTGAATATTTATATATAGTGTATTATCAAAATTTTGCGAGAAGAAGTTTTGTTTTCGCCAGAAAATTCTATTGGCAAAGGTTTTTGGTTTTGGTTTGCCACCTAATTTGGAAAAGCATGTGTATATATGTGGGCCAATGTCTGACAGTTTGGCTAAACCGAGTTCATATATTTGAAAGCTATTTTATATAACTCGAGGAAAAGTCACCACTTACGACTAGGTCAAAAAGTTTTGTACCATTATTCAGTTGTGTACTTTATTCATATTTTATAGATTATTTTACATTTTTGCAGTGGTTTTCTGATTCATTTTCCCAATCCCATTCTCGTATTGCCCATAACATTTGCATTTGTGTGCTTCCAATGAAAGCTCGAAGCTCCAAAGCTCGAAGCTCGAAGCTCCAAAGCTTTGTACCACACCGTACCGCCCCCTGTCGGTACTTGAGTAATGCAATATTCGTGTAATAAATTTTTGCTAAACTTGTTGTTACATGCAGACGGTGGAGGGAAATGGCGATTCGGCGGTAATATATGGAAAATGTTGTGTTTTCCCAATTCACATACGCCAGTGTACATTTTCAGTTGAAAACAAGATTAACCGCGGGGAAATTTCACTTGGGGAAGGAGGAATTGTTAACTTCCTGAAGGAGAAGTTTGTGATTTGATAACATTACAGTTTTCTGTATATTTGAGGTCATTCTGAATCGCTTAACACCAAAAATGGTCTTTCAAAAACCACTGCACCAATTTAAAACTCTTTTGTTGAAATTCGATTAGAAATCCCAAATATTATTAGCATGACGATAGGCCAATCCCTTACTTATTTATAATTAGCATGCAAGTGCTAAATATTTCGTCAAAAGTATTGCCAAAAAGTCGGAATCGATTTTGAGAATTTGAAATCATGATGGTTAGTTTTTGGTAAAGATTGCACTAGCTGTTCCTATGTGATTGATATTTGAACTTTGGTGACGATTTTGCTGAAACCACTATTTTTTTCTTTTTTTTTATTTATTTATCATAGCAAACTATACAAAGTACATTCAGCTATATATTATTTGACTGGTATATATTATTTGACTGCGTGAAAAGGATCGCTATCCAGCGATAGCACCTTCTTAGATGTTATGTGATATTTTGTAGTAAATCATTGCAGATTCTTTTTTTGAGACGCTTTGGTGGCAAAGGCTTGAGCAGATCTAACGCTAATTCGTTTGGATGACGACTTAGACGACCTTGGTATCTGGAGCAGTAAAGACTAATTTCTTCTTCTATAGTTTGAATTCTGATATCTTGATGTATCAACCAATTGAGAACGTATTTTGGAGCATTCACGATTTCTTTCAAAATTTTATTTTGGAACCTTTGTACAATAGTTATGTTCGATTTACTGGCCGCACCCCATAGTTGTAGGCCGTAGGACCATATTGGATTAATAATTGTCTTGTATATTAGCTGAAACCACTATGATGCTATAATTGTAGAAAGTTGATTTTATTTTTAAAAAATCATTTAAGTTTGGACGCGATCTTAGGATATCTTAGGAGTTAGGACATCTTAGGACACCATGTATATTACGTTCTGTGTTTTGTACTGGTCAACGTTGACGTCCACAGTTAAATTAGGAAAATAAATTAAATCAATCTGATGCAATTATAGATACTATGAAGTTGTTCAAAAGATATTAAATATGTCCATTATCAAAGTTGTTATGAATGTACAATAATAGCATTTATTATCTATTACCATGGCAGCCCTGCCCCGTCCTGTCCTGATTTCAAGAAGCCCAGTTCTGGTCCTACATTAATAATAATTAAATACTAATGAGGCGCATGTTGTTGTTGCAGGAAGTTTACTGCGGTAAGGAGACGATATGCACAGTAGATGGATTACATTTTCATTGCATGTACAACGCTCGCGTTAAGGCTTTCAACGGCACTGGAGAAGGCGAATACAGCGAACTTATAGGATTACAAACTGCTGAAGGTAAGATAATGATAATAGAATTTTGTGGAAAAAATCAAGAAACAAACAAATTAAGAATTTATTTATCTGTTACTGGATTGATTTAATGAAATGTGTTGAAAAAGGCGATATATTAGGCAACTAAGTAACTGCAGATTTCTTTTAAGAAAAACATACATTTTTTTTATGGGACTAAGTAACTTTATAACATTATAATGTTTTACTCATTCTGCACAATGACTTTTTGCTACCATTCTAGCTTCAGTAGAATCTCACGTTCACTTACGATTTGAAATCAAACCCTCACAGATTTTTGAAATCAGAAGATTTTTTTCTTGTAACTACTAGCTTTATTATGTATTACCAATTTTTATGATCAATTGTTAATTATTTTTCTACTGAAACGTTCAATAACATTTCCTACAAGGTGTTAAACTTTTGGCTCTCCTAGGGAGGTGAATTAGGATGAGACAAAACGAAAATTGCCTGAAAATTTTGTAGATTGTCTAAAAATGTTCTAAGTTGTCTGAAATAGAATGAGACAAAACAAAAATTGCCTGAAAATGTCGTAGATTATCTTAAAATGTTCTAAATTGTTTGAAAATGTCGTAGGTTATCCAAAAATGTTGATGTCAAAAATGTCTGAAAATATTTCAGATTGTTTGAAAATATTACTGATTATCTGAAAATATTGCAAGTTATCTGAAAATGTTGTAGAATGTGTGAAAATGTTGAATACTGTCTGAAAATATTGCAGATAGTCTGAAAATGTTGTGGATTGTTTCAAAACATTGTAGATTTTTGTAAATATTGTAGATTTTCTGAAAATTTTGATTTCCTGAAAAATTTGTAGGGTGTTTGCAATATTTGCAATTATACTTGTTTATCTGTGGGTGTTTGCTAATATTGATGATAGTCTGAAAATATTACAGACTGTTTAAAAATATTGTAGATTGTCTGAAAATGTTGTAGATGGTCTGAAAATATTGATGATTTTCTGAAAATAGTGATATTGATTCTCTGAAAAATTTCTAGAGTGTTTGATAATATTGATGATTGTCTGAAAATATTGCAGATTGTCTGAAAATATTGCAGATTGTCTGGAAATGTTCTAGATTGTCTGAAAATGTTGTAGATTGTATGAAAATGTTGATGATTCTCAGAAAATGTTGATGATTCTCTGAAAATATTGATGATTCTCTGAAAATTTTGTATACTGTCTGAAAATTTTGTCTACTGTCTGAGAATTTATTATACTGTCTGAAAATTTATTATACTGTCTGAGAATTTTGTATACTGTCTGAAAATATTGTAGAAAGTCTGAAATTGTTGTAAATTATCTAAAAATATTGGAGTCTATATGAAAATATTGTAGATTGTCGGAAAATATTGGAGCCGATCTAAAAATATTGTAGATTATCTGAAAATGGTGTACATTGTCTAAAAAGTTATAGATTTTTCTTGGCCATGGTGAGCATCTTCAGAAATATATTATTTTATTGTCTATGTGCCCCACTTTCATCAACAAAAATACAACAAAAATGTTACTTATGTTTATCTAACAAAACAAAAATTACAAGTATAGTTCCAAAACAAAAGTTTAGAAGTTAAAATTATTAATAGATATTATTTATATGTTAATGTAAAAGTGTAACTTCAGATTTAGATCTAAATTAGTTTTACAGATTGTCTGAAAATGTTGTAAATTGTAGAAAATCTTGTAGTTTGTTTAAAAATATTGCAAAATGCTTGAAAATGCTATAATTTGGCTGAAACTGCACTACAATTTCTATGGTTTTTGGACAAAATATGAAAAAAATAGATCATAAACATTTTGTATTTTAATTTGGTTATATTAGGATATTGCTCTATTCTTAAATGGTAATGCAATAAATAACGCAATCTTGCGAACTGTAGATAACGCAAAAATAAAATTTGTCTGAATCAACATGAGTTCACTAAAAACCAACTTAAAATTTCTATATTCACTTCATCCGCGCTATGAAATTCCTCTTACTCTTTTTTTTCTTTAATTTTCACTTACCTTTAACCTTTTCCAGTGGCGTGGTTTACCTTCGACCCATTGCTGTCTCCTGGCCTGCAGTACTCGTCGGACCATGCGACGGTTGCGGCCGACGGCTGGGAGCACCGCGTCGCCCTGGGTTCCGTCGGTTTCAGCAGGGGGGTCCATTATTGGGAATTCACGATCGAACGCTATGACACCGATACTGATCCAGCATTTGGCGTTGCCAGGATAGATGTTGCACGAGATAAGATGTTAGGTAAGTAGAATAATAGTAATAATAATAATAATAATAATAATAATAATAATAAGGAAATAAGTACAGAAGTACAGTAGAATCCGCTTAGTATGACATCGAAGGGACGCCGAAATCTCGTCATACTAACCGGTCGTCATTAAAAGCGTACTGAAGAAAAACTTTTTAATATGCAAATATGTTACATGTTTTAGTAATTTAAAAGAAAAGCCTATACAAACGCTTTAATCAAAAAAAAATGACACATTAAAATTTAATATTAAATAAAATTGACATAGGGTAGGGCGGGGGCACAACGGTCCAATTTGACTTACGGTAATTATACTGTCTAAACCCAATGAACAACTTATAACATACATCAAAGAAGCATCTGTCGAACCATGTTCAGAAAAACTTACATACATACATAATTCCTAATTATATAAATATTATATTTTTTACTATTTTTTAAACATTTGGTATCTGACCCATTTTACCTCACATACGGGGTAAAGTGGAACAACCAGTGGGTGAGCAGATGCAATTTCTTCTATTAAATTTTAAAGGCATTTTACGCTACATTATTGAACCAATGCAAAATATTAATTCTGTGGGTACATTTGTTAAAAAGACTACCCAGTATATTACATTGATCTGCTATTGGTCAGAAATATTCATCAGAAGAGCCGGAATAACAATTTATTGAATTAATCACTTGTAAAATTGCTTTTTTTTAAACTTTACTATTTTATTGCTTACACCTTTGCCAAAGTAAAGGTTCGGCTGGTCCTTTTTATCGCACTCATGTGCTGCTTATCTTCTGATAGCAAAGTCATAAGAATTAAGGTGATGGCTGGTTATGAATTTATACATTTTTCGCCCTCTACTATCAAATATAATTGTTAAAAAAAAAATCTAATTTTATTTGTTTATGAGATATCCGTGGTGGGCCATTAATAATTAGTCTACCCTACCCATAAATATACAAATTTTTTTAATGTAAGTAATCAGTAATTTTTGATTGATTTCTTTACATAATTTTATTGTAAAAACAGTCCCTGGTGCTATTTAGCACAAAAGACATAGCAATTGCTTTCGTAGACTGGGCCACATCATGTAAAATCATGTCGGTCATTATAATTGGGCATATTTTTTGCAAAAATGGGTCATTATAAGCGACATGTCAATGTAAGCGATGTCAATATATCCGACTAGACAGCTGTTTTTTTAAGGAATTTTATATGGAAACCAAATTACTAGTGCGATTACGTCGTATTAAGCGGTTGCCAATATATCCGGCGTCATACTAATCGGATTCTACTGTAATAATATATGGTAATAAGTGAAGTAAGTAATCGAGGGGAGGGGGCATAATTTAGTCAAATAACTTAAATATCGTTTATGAAAAATATTTATCGTACATAGGACAAACTAAACAAATATTTAAAAAGCGAACAATTATTCATCAAACACCTACGCACTAACAAAACATATATTATACATAAAATGTACTTTTGATATCCTACCATCAATTTCACACTCATTGTCAGATAATAAAAAGATGATTGACGAATCAATTTTTACAACTTGAATCCGGAAAAAATAATCTGCCAATATCCTGGACGCGTGGTGGTATCCCGGGCCAGTCTCACACAATCCAGAGCGTAGTTATCTTAATTAATAATAGCTTGTTTAATATGAATTTTTATTTCTATCAGGCAAGGACGATAAAGCCTGGGCCATGTACATCGATCGTAATCGATCCTGGTTCCAGCATGATTCGACACATGAACGTCGAGCTGAGGGTGGCATCCAAACTGGTTCTACTGTTGGGGTTCTCCTTGATTTAGAAAGGCATACGCTAACCTTTTATGTTAACGAAATTCCACATGGTGGAATTGCGTTTAGAGATTTGTACGGCGTTTTTTATCCAGCTATTAGCGTTAACCGCGGGGTCACATTAACGTTACATACGGCGTTAGATCCACCATCGGATTCTGATGGGGAATTATAAATTTTTGGAAAATTATAAATGTAGTTATATTGTTGTACAGTTTTACTTGAATAAGTGTAGATAAATTTGCGTTCATCGATATAGCACTTTAAAGTCTTACGCAATTTTGAAATAATGGCAGAATATGAGAGCAATTGTTCAAAGAGAAGCATTGAGTTAAGACCAAGGTTAAAAAATATTATGCATGCTTCTATGATTAAGTCTCGCTAAATTATTACTGCCGATGCCATTTCACATCATATTGAGAGAAATTATGAGTGTATATAATAAGCAATATGACTGAGTATGTATATAAAATGAGTGAATGTGTTCAAATTTTAGCTTTAGTTTATCAAATTTTAAGTGTTGCTTAATTCTAGATTAAAATTATATAATTAATATATTAACCAAAAATCTTATCCATGTGTGTTTCTACACAAAGGTATAAATAACGAAAATTAATAAAAATAATATTTAGAATATCACGATGGATCCAAAATATATTTATTTATGAATTGACGTACATTAAATAGTTCATAATAAATTTATGGAACTTTTCAACAAGTCAATTCATATTAATAGGTATTTAAACATGTGCGAGAATTATATGGATATTTAAATATACAGGTTTGAAATTCATTACACAATGTAATTTGTAAGTTGTATATAATATATTTTTTTGTACTGGCGGCAAATATTCGCGTACTTCATAACTGCCATTATTTGTAATGGAAAAAAATATTATTTCTACACAAAATATTTGTAATTAATATGAACATATCAATATTTTTTCATTTTTCATTCTGAATCTCTTCAGGATACAATGCACTGGAATATACTAGTAAATTTTGCATAAAATATTACGGTTAAATAAAACTAACAAAGTATAGTTTTATTGCAAAAAAAATCTTTAAAAAGCATATTATGTCTTTATGACGAAATAATTGATAGTCATACAAATATAAAATGATGTCTCATGAATTTATTAATTGTGATGAATCAATTTATTTGATTATATCGTAGACATTTAAGTGATCCGATTTTTGCCATATTTATAATAATTATTATATATATTATGTCTACTAAGTATTTGATTTAATTTACTTCAGTATATCAAATTTGAAAAATTAATGTAAAAACATATAAATGAAATGATAAATTTAAATTATCTGATTCGAAACTATCTATAAATGTAATATATAAGAAACCATAAATGGTGACTGATTTTAATATTATTCCATATTATTATTATGTATATGTACCTATATGTATCTTTACATATTAAATGTATATAAATTATAGGTCTAATATATTTCATATATTTAACTAGTAAACCATAGGAAAAATACTATAAAACGATATAATAAATATCAAATTTATTTAAAATTCTTGGTATATATAAATATCAGAGTTAAAATAACTAATTATTTATTCAATATTCAAGGCTTTTAATATTTTAATTCGACTCTCATTACAATCAGTTTATTTTATACCATTCAAAATGATTGAATTAAATTTTAATCAGATGAATTGTAGGATTGATAAAACAAGGAGATGCAGCCTTATTATTATTAAAAAAAATAGATAATTTAAATAAACTAAATGTAGTGAGAATAACGTTTTTTTTGTTTAATTATGTACAGTTTCATTCTAGTATTTTTTATTGGATGTGATGTATACTAAAACTAAGTTATCATATTGTAAATAAAATAGAACATTTTTTCATGTTCAATGTAATAATAATAGATTAGAACTTTATTAAGTAATGATATTTATCTATTAAACCTATATTAAATCTTTGGTAATTCAAAATAGTTATTTGTTTATTGATATGATAATAAAATTATCAACAACAAGAGCTTTTTGATAACGAGAATTTCAGCCAAAATAAAAAATCAACTTACTATATAATTAACTCTAATAAAAATGCAAAATAATTATTAATTCTTTATTAATTAAACTTTAAAAATCAAAATAATTAACACTAAATATTATTAAAAACTCTCTATTATTTTTTAGTGATTTCCATACTTTCAAGCTGTGTTTTAAGTTCAATTAATTCTTTATCTGGAACATATCGGACCTCTTCGTATTCTTCCAAATGTTCATGTACATTTAATGTTACACCTTGAGGTAATGACGCTTGCAACAGCCTTAGAAGCACCGGATATTTTGTAGAAGGTAAATCACAAATCTAATTTCACAAAACAACTATATAAGTAACATAAATCAAAATAATTTTTGAGCACTTAAATGACATTATTACCTGAACATTTCTTTCATAGACGCAAAGCTGGTATTCGGTTTCAATAGCTGAACTCTTTGGTTTTAATTTTTGAATCTTAAAGTATTGCCCAGGCGTAGCCCACCTGGATATTTTTGCATGTAAGTAATTTTAGAATTAAATCATGATTTATATATTTTACCACCTACCCATCATTAATATCTAATTCTAATGATTTTGCAATACGATGTACAAGTTTCTGATAATTTTCTAATATAACAAAATCATAGCCTTTGAGTTGAATGTTAACAGTATCATATTCTGGTACATCGGGTTCATAAGCCTACAAAATATTTAATGGGTTTATTCAATTGCAAATGGTACATTTATTTATAATATTCTCTTACATGAAGATAATCTGGATCATAATAACTTGAAGCTGAATTATTTCTAACTATTGATGTTCTAGTGATATTTTTTAAAATTTGCACTGTACTAATTAACTGAAATTAAGAAATTTGAATTATTTTTGCACAAATATTTCATTTATAAAGTATTCTAACCTGTCTTTTAAGTAAACTTTGCATTTTGATTTCTTATTGAAAATAGACTGTACCAAATTAAATCAAATTATTTAGTAGAAGTAATATGCATTTATTTTTTTATAAATATATTTTAAAAATATAAAATATATATTCCACTTTTGTAATATTTTATTTTAAAACTTGACAAGAACTTGACATTTACAACTTCATATTGGTTTCTAAGATCGTGAAGTTAGTCAAGTGTCAAGTTTATTAAGTTGGTAAAGCTTATTATGATCCTATGCAATTTTAATCTGACAGTTCTTTATAAACTGTATAACAAGGTTAATATTCGAAAATATAACAAAAATAGATTTTTTATAAAATAACTGTTATAATACAAAATGGAAATAACTGCTATATTGGATATAAATGATATTTGTCGAGTTTGTTTAGCTCCAATTGCTGATACATCACTTGGGTCACAATTGTTTGCTATAGGAAATAATGCTGTTCAATTATGGACAAAAATTATGGCATGTACATTAGTACAGGTATGATTAATTTAATTGACAATATTTTTTGGAAGTTCGTTCTTGGTTTCAATTCTTGTATTGTTTGATAACTACATAATTAGCCTTTTTAAAAAAATCAACACCTATGTTTGGTAAACAATATATAATTTTTATTGTAGATTTGTGAGAGTGATGGCTTACCAGGATCGATTTGCAAAAAATGTCATGACAATTTAGAAGTAGCATACAATTTCAAAATGCAATGTGAATCAACTGATAATCAGTTACGCCAAATTCTTAATCTACCAATGAATCCTTCTTGCATGGAAAATAGAAAAGAATATTCTCATGTATGTGGGATTTTGAATTAGTTTTGTATTTGATGTAGAGAAATTAATTTTAATTCTGTAATTCTATAGATACATTATACTAATATTGGCTATTTCCATAAATCTGAACTTACTGGTGAAAACTCAGCTTCTTTCAATATTAATAAAAAATCTGTACTGAGTAGCAGTGATCGAAAACCAAATATTGATAATATTATTGGTACAAATGATTTAAACAATAAACTGCACAATAGAGAATATAATGAAATTACAATAAATATTAATCGAACACAAGAATCTGATATAGCCATTGCTAACAGTTCCGATAATCAGCTTGAAAGTGTAAAACCACTTAAACTGAACTCAACAAATCAACCAAAGACTTATGAAAATGACAGAATTGAAGCTAATGAAGAAGGTAAAAATAATGATTAATAAATTTAAAATAAATGATTATGAGTTCCATTGAATATCTATTAATTAAAACAAATTAAATAGGAAAATGTGAACTTTGTGGAAAATTATTTAAATCGAAAAAGCATAGAATACAACATAAAAGAATTCATAACCAGAAAAAGAATCATGAATGTAAAATATGTCATCATAAATTTGCATCACACAGTCACTTGCTGATGCATTTAAGAGTTCATTCTGGTGAAAAGCCATTTATTTGTCAAGTTTGTGGCAAAGGATTTATGCAATCATCAGGTTAGGTTTGTTTACTTATTTTATATAATTCAACATGTGTTTGGGATGAATTTATTATCAATGCTTATATAACTTCATGACAAATTTGTAGTATAATTTTTTTAGGTCTTACAATACATATGCGTTCACATACAGGTGAGCGCCCTTTTAAATGTGATATCTGCAATAAAAGCTTCACGCAAAGTAGTAATTTGCTGCTTCATAAAAAGATTCATTCTGGCCAAAGAGAATATGTTTGCCAAACTTGCCAAAAAGCATTCAAATTTTCAAAGCATTTACAAAGGTTAGTTAATTATTTGATCAATAAAACTATAGACTTATAGAAAAAAATATATATGATTCTTTTAGTCATATGAAGCTACACACTGGAATAAAAGACTTTACATGCAATATTTGTCATAAAGGATTTAATAGGTATTTTATAATTTTAAAATATAGTAAGCCATGGTTAATGAAATATTATTGTTCAAGATTACATAAATTACGCTTTTCAGGAAAAGTTATTTGAAAATTCATATGTCTATTCATAGAGGTGATAGGCCTCATAAATGCAGCTTTTGTGGACATGGATTTTCTAATTCTTCAAATTTAACTGCACATATAAGAATTCATACAGGATCAAAGCCATTTGAATGCCCAGTAAGAACTATAATGAGTTTCAGTCTTAAATTTATTTATAAAGAATTAATAATTGTGTTTATTTGTATCAGGTATGTAAGAAATCCTTTGCTCAGTCTTCTGCTCTGAACAGGCATATGTTACAACATTCGTAGGGTGTTTCCTCCAAATGCAGGGATTATAAAACATTGTTTCTAATTTATAAAATACATTTATAATGTATTTACAAGTATGAAATTTATTCATATAGATTTTTACAAAACAAAATATATAATAAATATATAACTTATTTGTTACAAAACTAATTTAACATTTTGAATATTATTGTCTTGCAATGTATAGTCTTGTGGATGATACAATTCACTTAGTAGACGATATATGTATGAAGGAGAGTTACCCCCAGAATTTGTGATAAATAAAGTAACTAATTCAGGAGGAACATAATCAAAAACAGGATTGTATACTTTAACAGCACGTGTAACACCGCCAATATTGTAAGGCAATGTTCCAGCAGGATTTTCCAATATATTGAAACAATCAGATTCTTGGGAACACAAATATAATGGAGTCAATTTGTATAGAGGTGCTAAAACGATGACTGGAACAGAAAAATGTCTAGCAGCTAATGCCACACTGTGGGAACCACAAACAGCTCGCAGGCCACCAGTTGCAAGAACTGAGTGGGTACCTATTATTACTTTATTACATCGGGACATTATAGCAAAAATAGCAGCATCAGAAATTACTGTTGTTTGAATTTTACTTTTAGCTAAGCTAGCTGCCAGAAGATGACCTTTATTTTGAGGTGCACATTCTGCTACAATAACTTCAAATTTTCTGGTCTGAGCAGCTTTTTTCAAGAATTTTTCTACAGTTAAGGAATAACCCACTGTCAAAATAATTTCAGAGGAATGAATATGTTCTGCAGCTTGCATGTAGATATTTTCACCACTAGTTTCAAGTTCAATTTCGAATTCTGCAATGTGATCTAAAATGGCATCACAAAGACCATCTTGAGGTTTACTATAATCCACAAGGCCGTAGCCCTCACTGGTTTGCGTTACTAATTTATGAAGAGAAGCTTGTGTATCTCCTTCTTGACCTTCTGCTCGAGACTTGTGTGCTGTATCATATTCTTCACGTATTATTTTCAAAACTCTGCGGGCCATGTTAGATGTTACAGATTCTTGAGGTAAGGCTGTTGCTAAAACTTTACCTTCTCTGCTAACTAATGTTATTAATTCATTGGCAGATTTCCAATTATATGATTCTATAAAACTTTTGAATAATGCAACTGTATTAATTGTAATATCAAAAGAACCTTTAATTTTTCCAATTTGAATATTTCGGATAAGATCAAAGGTTTTTGATGCGCAATCAGCATCTGTTAAGGGTGTCATGTTTTATTATTTAATATTTCGATACGAACGAATTACTTTGGATTTTTCACCTTTCACAGTTAACCTAATCAAGAATTAACATGTCATAATATTGTAGCATAGACTTTATAATCTACATGGATCGTTAAAGTTATATATGTGTCTAAAAGAAAATCGTTAAAGGTATAACCATACTCTTCTTTTATCTATGGGTATAACATCAAATAAGATAGCAAACGGTATCAAAATATCTTTAATGGATATAAAAATGTAATTTTCATTTCATTGACTGCAATTATAATTTAAAATTCACAAGTAGAATTTTTCGCAAGAATCTGATTTGAAAATGGCCAACCCAAGGACGAAGAAAGAATAACCTTAAAATTATCTTGATTTTCAAGGCCACATTGCATTTGTATAATCTTTGATGAGTTCACGATATTGAAGTGACGACAGAAATTATCTGCTTTTACATGAAGTAATAACTTAAATTATTTTGAAAAAATGTGTTAATGTTGTGTAAATAATATTATTAAATCTTTCAGTGTTCTTTCTATTGCTTGTAGTCGTGTTCTATGAACTGCAATTTCCAGAATTAATGCACGTCATAGGTTAACATATTTTATCATTGCCGCGTGTGAAAATATTTTAATGATACAGTAAATTTACAACAAAAATCATGAGTGGACCACATCAAAATGGTATTACAAGAATCCCGGAGTCTATAAACTTTCCTAAAGAAGAAGAAAATATTTTAGAACTATGGAAAAATATTGACGCTTTTAAAAATTGCTTAAGGCAGTCCAAAGGAAAACCGAGGTAACTCAGGATTTGACCATTTTTACTGTCATGGTTCATATGATACTAACACAATTACTTATTTGTAGCTCAATGGCTTTCATTTTTCTCTTATTTTAAAATAAGCGATTTTGTATTATGTATTTAATAATCAGTTGTATTTCTTGCCATAATTTAGAATAAATACATTTGTTTTCATCCATGCTTTATATCGCAGGTATTCATTTTATGATGGACCTCCATTTGCTACTGGTTTACCGCATTATGGCCATATATTGGCTGGTACAATTAAAGATGTTGTGACACGATATGCGCATCAACAAGGATTTCATGTTGAACGAAGATTTGGTTGGGATACCCATGGTCTGCCTGTTGAATTTGAAATTGATAGAGCTTTAGGCATTAAAGGACCAGACGATGTGGCCAAAATGGGAATTGCAAATTATAATGCAGAATGTAGGAAAATTGTTTCTAGATATGCCAAAGATTGGGAAGTTATTGTAGGACGTATGGGAAGATGGATAGGTATTATTAAAAGACTTTATCAAATACATTAATTCATACAGAATAAATATGTTATATAACTAATATTTGCTTTTATATAGATTTCAAAAATGATTACAAAACCATGTATCCATGGTATATGGAAACAATTTGGTGGGTCTTTAAGGAGCTTTATAATAAAGGACTTATTTATCAAGGTGTCAAGGTAATGCCCTTCTCGACTGCTTGCAATACACCATTGTCCAATTTTGAATCTGGACAAAATTATAAAGAAGTAGTGGATCCAGCAGTTGTAGTAAGTTTTCCAGTTGAAGGAGGAATGTCTCTTCTAGCTTGGACTACTACTCCTTGGACTTTACCAAGCAATCTTGCTTGTTGTGTGAATCCTACACTAACCTACATTAAAATTAAAGACAAAGCAACAGGAAATGTTTATGTGCTGATGGAATGTCGACTTGAGGCTATATTTAAACAAACAGACCAATATGAAATCTTAGAAAAATTTCTGGGTTCTAAATTACAAGGATTATCTTACACCCCTCTCTTTCCATATTTCAATCACTTAGCTGAGAAAGGAGCATTCCGAGTTTTAGCTGACTCTTATGTTACTGAAGATTCTGGTACAGGAATTGTACATCAGGCACCATACTTTGGTGAAGACGATTACAGAGTTTGTTTAGCTGCAGGAGTTATAACTAGAGACCAGGAAATTGTCTGTCCTGTTGATGCAAGTGGAAAGTTTGTAGACCCAGTAGTAGATTTCAAAGACATGTATGTAAAAGATGCTGATAAACACATAATAAACTATTTGAAAAAATCTGGAAGATTGGTTCAAGCTGGCCAAACAAAACACAGTTACCCATTCTGTTGGAGATCTGACACACCACTCATATACAAAGCAGTTCCTTCATGGTTTGTGAGAGTGCAGCATATGACCAGAGAACTTTTGGAGTGCAGTGCTCAAACTTATTGGGTTCCTGACTTTGTAAAAGAAAAACGTTTTGGTAATTGGCTAAGAGATGCACGTGACTGGGCCATCAGTCGTAACAGATACTGGGGTACTCCAATTCCTTTGTGGGTCTCTGATGATGGTGAAGAAATGGTCTGCATAGGAAGTATTGAAGAACTACAAAGATTAACAGGTGCAACTGTAACAGATTTGCATAGAGAAAGTATTGATCACTTAGAAATTCCTTCCAACAGACCAGGAAAGGGACCTTTGAAACGTATACCAGAAGTTTTTGATTGCTGGTTTGAGTCTGGATCTATGCCATATGCACAACAGCATTATCCATTTGAAAATAGAAAAGTGTTTGAAGATTGTTTTCCTGCTGACTTCATTGCTGAAGGAATTGATCAAACTAGAGGATGGTTTTATACTTTGCTTGTCATCTCTACAGCCCTATTTCGTAAGCCACCTTACCTAAATTTAATTGCTAATGGATTAGTTTTAGCTTCTGATGGACAAAAGATGTCAAAAAGGAAGAAGAACTATCCTGATCCCATGGAAGTAGTTAACAAATATGGAGCTGATGCTCTACGATTATATCTGATTAATTCACCTGTTGTACGTGCAGAAAATTTGAGATTCAAGGAAGAAGGTGTAAGAGATGTTATCAAAGATGTATTTTTGCCATGGTATAATGCATTTAGATTTCTAATGCAAAATGTTGATCGAATTGTACAGGAAGATGGAGTTAACTATCTTTATGATGATAAAAATTTGACTTCTGTCAATAAAGATAGCAATATAATGGATTGTTGGATTTTGTCATTCACAGAATCTTTATTGAAATTTGTTAAGAAAGAAATGACCGCATATAGATTGTATACCGTCGTTCCTAGGCTCACAAAGTTTATTGATCATTTAACAAATTGGTATGTGAGAATGAATAGAAAAAGATTGAAGGGTGAGGGTGGTGTAAAAGATTGTACTGATGCTTTAAATACCTTATTTAGTGTTCTATTGACCATGATAAATATGATGGCTCCATTCACGCCATTCTTATCAGAATTCATGTACCAGCACCTTTCAAAGTTATCCACATTGCAGCAACATGAAAGTGTTCATTATTTGATGCTCAGAGAACCTAATGATAAACTGATTCAGATTAATGTAGAACGTGCAGTATCAAGAATGCAGGCTGTTATAGAACTAGGAAGAGTTTTGCGAGATCGCAAAACTATTCCAGTAAAATATCCTCTGCCAGAACTTATTGTTATTCATCAGAATCCTGAGTACCTGGCTGATGTTAAATCACTAGAAACATATGTTCTTGATGAACTGAATATTAAGAAAATTACATTGAGCACAGATAAAGAGAAATATGGTGTTTCATTAAGAGCTGAACCCGATCATAAAACATTAGGAGCTCGTCTCAAGAATGACTTTAAAGCAGTTACACAGGCCATAAAATCATTAACTGATTCACAGCTTCAAGAGTTTGCCAAAAAGGGATCTATGACCTTACTAGGTCATGAATTGGAGCTAAATGAAGTAAGACTTATTATTAACATTTCTTCTGCAGCTTCAACCAGTGACAAATTTGAAGCTCATAGTGATAATGATGTTTTGATATTACTGGATGTCACTCCTGATGATGCTATGCTAGATGAAGGCATTGCTCGAGAAATTATTAATAGAATTCAAAAATTGCGCAAAAAGGCCCACTTAGTACCTACGGATGAAGTAGATGTTTATTTTGCCATTGATGATATAAACAGTGCTTTACAAAGAATTGCCATATCTCATAAGAGTTTCATTGAGAATACAACAAAAACACCATTTATTTCACTAAAGGAACTTGATTCTAGTAAAACCATTATTATAAAGGATGTACAAGATTTGAAGGGAACCAAATTGACATTGGTTATTACAAAACGAGTTGACACTTGTAGTAAACCAGTTGTTCCATGGGTTAATGTTCATTTGGATAAAATAAAACCAAGATATGGCTTACCAGAAAATGCAGCTGATGGGCTAATTTTATTAGAAAGTAGTAAAGGTCAACAACTTACACTGGATTCATTAAGAGAACAAGTAATAAGATTATTTGGACTTCATGGCTTACAATTCAAGCTTTGGCTTTCAGAGGACAAGGAATTATCAGACACGGATATGAAAGATCTGAATACCAAAACTATAATTGCTTCAACTGATAAACCAAGCTCATTTATTAGTAATCCATCACCAGTTTGCCCCACAGTAAATATAACATCAAAACAAAAGGAAGCTACAGTAATTTTGCAAAATCCTAATGGAGTATCAACTTTTAATGATCTTCAACTTCAAACTCACGTGGCTAATATTTTCCAAGTTGATAGTAGTAAAATTAAAATAACTCATACCCATGAAACTTCAGTAACTATTCTCTCTTGATTTCAGTATTAAAATATAATAACAAAAAGTGATAATGTAATTTTGTTCATGAGTTTTTGCTGAAATGATCTGAATATATACCTGTTTTCAAATTACCAAACATTGAAAAGTTAAAAATAAAAAATATTTATTACTTTAATTTATTTTAGCATATGAACAATTCATATTGTTAACTAATAATAAATACTAGTACATTAATTCTCGTTATAAAACTTATCATATTTTCATTATTTAATCATTTTTGGTTGTTGAATAAATTTTGAAAGCTAAATACTTTCTCCTTTTACTTAATTATTTCTTAATGTTAAAATATAAAATCTAGTTTGGGAAACATTTGTTAAAATATATAAAAATAAAGAAACACTCTACTGTTATAATATTTTTCTTAATTTTTTTTTAAATTTAGTAAGTATTTTTGATATCTAGCACATAAAATGCAGCACACGTGGATCTCATAGGTAAGTTTTATATAATTATTTTATATTTGTTTGTTTCATAACCATTAGAATTGTGTAAATTTTGTGGAACAATTTAGTTTATTATTTAAATGATGTTGATAGCATTTATTTTTTTGAGCTATTTTAACAAGGATTTGTGATTAAAATATTATTTTGACATTAATTTTAATGTAACTGATCTATGAAACATTGAAATAAATAGTAAACACAATTGCTATAATAATTATTAAACTACTTTTAATTTACATACTTTAGTATTTTACTACAATAATATATCAAATTCTGAATATTTGAAATTATAATTAAACTTTTTTATCTGTTTCAGCATAATTTCAAAAAAGGCGCGCATTTTCAGCGTCATCTATCAGAAATTATTGAAGAAACGAATGGGGCAAATCATCCGTCAACAAGTGAAGTGTCAATTATTAATTGATTTGCGATTCCTTTCCTGATTGTTAATTGATTTCACATATACTTGCTTCCAATAAATTTTATATTATCTTATTTTTAATTAGATTGAGTTGTGATATATAATAGTTATAATAGTGATTATGGATGTGCAAATAGATCGAAATGCTGAAAGAAGAAATCGGGTGAATATTTTAAAATCACGAGATTTTTACTTGAATTGAATTGATTTTATTTATAATTCATTATTTCAAACATTAGGTTATGTTAGGTCCTCTACCAAACGATTTTCTAAGAATATCAACACTTTCTGAAAGAGAACAACAAGAGGCAGCTGATCAGCAAGCTGCTTTGGCTTTACAACAGCAGTTGTCAGCATCAGCAAGAACACAAATGCCTTCCCCTTACTATCAAAACGCATCAGGATGGTTAAATGTTACAATCACACAAGCTAAACTTGTGAAAAATTATGGTTTGTATACATCAATGAACAAATCATATAATGGGTATGTATAATTCTATATTTTGAATAATCTTCAGGTATGACCAGAATGGACCCTTATGTACGCTTACGAATTGGCCATAATATATATGAAACACATACAGATCCAAATGGTGGCAAAAATCCCCGTTGGAATAAAGTTATGCAATGGTACTACGCCTGATAAAATTCAATTTTTATCTACAATTGTAAAATATTGAATTATATTTTTACAGTGCTCTTCCTAAAGGTATTAATTCAATATACTTAGAAATATATGATGAATGTAGTTTCACAATGGATGAGTTAATAGCTTGGGCAAACATAATATTACCCCCTGCAGTATTAAAGGGTGAAACTCGAGAAGAATGGTTTCCGTTGAGTGGAAAGCAAGGGGAAGGATTAGAGGGAATGATTCATTTAGTCCTTAGTTTTTCGGTATAATATAATCCATAATTTTTATGAACATTGATTTATTATCTTGTAAAAGTGATGTCTTATATTATTATATTCATAAGGTCACTCCAACTAGAGCTATGGGATTAGGACCTGTGATGGTATCATCAGGATACGGTGCTGTTAGACCAGCACCAGTCTATGTTCAAGCCCCACCAGATCAAATTGGTGTTGCAGCTGCTGCAATTCCTCCTGAAGTACCTCAACAACCTGCACTCACACCTGAACAAAAGGAACAATTGAGGCTGGAGGATTTAAAACAAGTAATCTTTACAACCTTCTTTTTTTATAATTATGATTACATTTATCACATTAATATTCAATTTATTTTAGCTTGGTGAAATGTTTCCACATTTGGATAAAGATGTAATTAAATCAGTATATGAAGCTAACAGATGTTTAAAAGAACCAGCCATCAATTCTTTATTACAGTTGACTGAATGAAGATTATTTTTTTGTCATATGTACTATACTTTAATCATAAACCTAAACTGTTGGATTAATATCAGCACAAAGCTTCTTGAAACGGTAACTAGAAAATAATGATTATAATTTTGAATAATATGTTGATTTTTCTTGCTTTTTATATGATTATATACTCCACAAATTGTGGAGGCATCAGGTACAGTAGTTAAGGTTTATGAGCTTGATACATGTTTATAAAAAATAAAATAAATTTTATATGTATTTATTCTGGTAATAATTATGTAAAGTTTAAATGTGATGCTTATGTAGTCAAATAAATCTATATTTACACAGATCAATGGCAAATTAGATAAAGTAATATAGCCTTAGCCAGCCTTAGGTGTTCTAAAGGTTTTTATATGGACAAGGTAAAGATTTTTGCATATTATTCAAAATTTTGAATAGAATTAGTTGTTGAAGATGCCAAACAATTAGTTTTACTATAAAAATACAAAATATTTTTCTATAACTTTTTCAGATTATTCATGTTTTTAATCTAGTAAATAATCTGACAAATCTTAATTTTTTTTATAATTGCATAGATGGTGATAAATTTTTGATTTTTATATTAAAATATAATATATGTCTATAACTGGCATTAATACATTCTCATTCTGAAGAGAATCGAAAGCTAAAAATTCGCCATGCAAAAAGAAGGGACAGAATATAATTGGAGCAAAATGAAAGAAGTACGAGTGAAACTTTTGACGTTAAATCGAGTGCTCATACAAGCAGTGAAATGACGTCTTTAAGTTTGTAGACAATAAATAATATAAATTTAATTTGTAAAACTCATAAAAATGTGATAAATTTGTTTGAAAGTTCTCTATCGCCTTTGCCACATAACTATTATACTATTACTCTTTCAAAATATTATTTTCTTTTAATTGAGGTTAGGTCACGTCTGTGCTCTATTTACCTATATATTTTTTATGATCTTTTGCAATATTTATCGAAAAGATGTCTACGCAAGAGAATTTGGAAGAAAGAATTGAAAGGATTAGAAAAAGAAATGAAGAACTGCAAAAGAAACATGCGGAAGCTGAAGCTGACAAACAAAGAGCTAAAAAAGAAAATGCCATGGTTCAAACGAAACCAACGAATTATGATGACTGGCCAAGAGAGCATAAGTATGACAATGTTGACTTCACATTTGACAAAAATGAAGACATTCATATGATTAATGACGAGATTAGGGATAGAAAGAGGGAAAAACACAATAAATCTCAATTTGCTGAAGGCGATGGGCCTCCACCAGACCCTTCTTATAGCTTTCTCAAAGATGCTGATCGTGACTACAACCATATTGAACAGGTAATTAGTTTTATTCTTTATTGATAAATGTAATTTAGTATTTGATTATAATGTCTCAAATACAATATCATTTTATATAGTTGATATCATTATCTAACTATTTTTGTTACTAAGTATATATTTGTGATTTACTAGATTCACAATAAAACAAATGCGAGTAAAAAAAGTCAACATTCAAATCCTCGTAACCAGCGAGGTAATCAAGAACGCAACAGTTTCTCTGATAATTCTCGTGGAAAACATAGGAAAGATTTCATTCACAACAATTCTCAACCTGCATATGATGCTTGGCGTTGTGAAAGAAATAAAATTGATGAAGCCAGAATTAACAGGCAGAAGAATTCAGAAGGCAAATGGAGAAGAGAATGGGATATTGAGAAAATTAATAATGATGGTCCTAAAGAAATATTTAATACACATAAACCAGAGAAATATACTATTGGTGATGCTTTGATAACTGGGACTAAAAAAACTATTATGGCACATCCTAATATGGATAAAAGTAAAGATTTCAATCGTGCTAGACCTAATATTACGGTCTCCTTAGATCGATCAGGAGAAGTTCAGAGTGTCAAGGGTAATTTATCATGAGATAGATTTGTAGCACCCGGATATGATGATATTTGAGTTTTATTTTAATAACCAAAATGCTTTAATACTTTATCTGTTTACTATATTCTTATATATTAATTATTTATTGTATAAAGAATATATTTTACATTGAATATTTTCATATCTGGTTCTACAGTATTTGCAAAACTATTTCTATGTCATATATTAAATTTTATTATAATTTTCATTCAGTTTCCTCTCCGCCTGCAATTGGATCAGGTCGTGTAGGTCCCAGGCAAGTTAAAACCAGGCCAGCCTTTCCTGATGAAATGATTGATAATAAGAAAAATGATTCAAATGACAGGTATAAATCAATCCCAGAACGAGAAAACTTTCAGAATAAAAGAAAAGATAGAATTAAATCTCCAAATGCTGATGGTCAAGTTAATGCTGGAAGTGGTGTTCAAGATCGTTTAAACAAATATAAAAAACATAATAATTTCTCAGAAATATCGAAAGAAATTAAAAGTGTTACTCAGGAGATTCAAGGTATTTGTACTAGCGTTGAGAACTTAAATATGAAGCATGTCGATTCGAATCAAAGTGACTCTAACTTAGATGAAAAGATTATTGACAATATATTAAATATTAACACAAAAAAGGAAATGGCTGATGATTTTTGTTTAAGTACAGATCTTATTATAGGAACAAAAGATACTACACAAACTTTTCAAAATAAAGAAAATGATTTAGCATGTGATTTTGTTAACATGGCAACATCTGATATTGAAAAGTTTATTGAAAAAGAGGTTGAAAAGAATAATATATATCTTCAAAATACTATTGTAGGAAATAATCATGATTTATCAGAAGAGAAACAAATTTCAGAAAATTCAAATATGGAATTAAATAGCAGCAATTCACTTAATGGTAGTATTTTGGATGAAGAGCAATTAGTAATGGATAAACCTGAAGAAGAAATAACTTCTGAGGATGCATTAGATAGCCAGACACATTCTTCTGATACTAATGTGAATGAGAAGGAGTTACCAGCAGAAAATAATTTAAAAATTGATAGTAATATTGATATCAATGGAATTAATGAACTATCAACATCTAAAGCGGATATTGATGGTCAAAATAAAGAAACTAGCTATACTAGTAATCCAGGTATGAACCATGATATTGTAAGCGAGAAAATTGAGTTGAAAATTGACATTGGTGATACAAAAAATAATATTGAAGAAGATCATACCAATGACATCGTTGGTAAGCAGCAAATTTTGGATCATACAGGTAAGAACGAAAGCAATGCTGATAATAATGTGGTTGATGAAGAACATAAATGATAAATTATAAAATTTTATAAATTATCATTGGATATATACACATACATATATATATATATATATATATATATATATATATATATATAATTAATATGTGCATGTCTATATATTTATAAATATGTATACATGTGTTTAATTTAAACAAGCAATTTTAATTAAATACTATATAAACTATTATCTGAAATTAATATAAGATGTGCAGTATTATTCAATATTATTGAAATATTTACTGTTTAAAATAACAGTAAAAGCTTTTCCAAATTATTTTACATTTATTTTTAGATTCTCTGATTCAGTTTTTGTCATTTATGTGAAAGATTTATTTGGTGTGGTATTATATTAAAAGTATATTTAATATAGCTGATTGTGGTCAAGGATATTATTAAGAAAATTGAAAATCTATAAAATATAATTTCATAGGTAAATACGCCTAACATTTGATCAAATCTATAGTATCTGGCCATTGTTACAAAAAGGTAATTTTTCAATTTAACTATTATTATTATATTTTATATATTTGACTATTTTATATATATTTTTACCCAATTTTGTTAAAATTTTAATTGATATTTTACACCGTGTTTAATAATTTTTATTTATTAATTTTTAATAAGAAATTTAAATTCATTCATTCTTATGAAAAGCAATCATATATTTCAAATTTATGAATCTAAATTAAATTCAAATTTAACATCGTAGTAATATACTCCGAATGAGAAATTAATTAATTTTAATCAAATATTGAATGTTATTTAATATGCAAATTATATTGCTTAAAGGCAATATAAACTATTTGACAATTAAGTTTTAAATCAAGTATTCTATTTAAAAAACATAAAATTTATTTATTTAAATTAAGTTATATTCTGCACGTATTTATATATTTATACAATTGGTAGCAGTAGCACATTATTTATAAGAAATTGAATATTTTTTTGTTAATACTTTGTTGATCTTTATTTATATTGTTGTTTTTATAATAATAAAAAATGCGAATAACTCAAATACTGTTCTCAGTTTGCAGTAAATTAAAGAGGTTCTGGGTCTGGATAGTTTAGTTGCTCGCGGAGCAGCCGAATTTCTTCCCAAATTTTCTCATCCATTAAATTTGTCTGAAACATAATTAACATTTTAATCTTGTATTATGGTTATTATGAACGTTTTCATTATATAATGCAGAGCGGTTGCTATAATTAAAAACTATATCTCACTTTTTTGGCAAACTTGTAGCATTGTTGAAATTCCTGGTATCTGCACTGGCTTAACGACAGCAGTGCTAAGTAACCCCAAACCTCTGGCAAATGAGGGTCTAAAACATTTGCTTCACGTAACGCCTTTTCGGCTAACCCAAAGTTACCCCTCTATAAATAATATATATTTTATAAAGAAACTGAATACATTTAAATAATGAAATTAAATCCCTCTATAAATAATATATATTTTATAAAGAAACTGAATACATTTAAATAATGAAATTAAATCTTGTTCAATAATAAACTTTATCTTACACGATAATTCGTAATTCCAATACGGAGCCAAAGTCTGGGTGTTTTTCTGGTTTTACATGATTGAATTAATAAATTATTCGACAAGCCATGGTTTCCTTGTTTTCTGTAAAAATCTGCTAAGCGCAGGGTAACGAGGTGTATGGGTTTTTCACCCCTGGACGAATTATGCCAGGCAAGTTCATATTTTCTCTGAGCATCTTCAAACTGATTTGTTGAGAATAAACAGTGCCCTTCTAGACTCAGTATCCTATACTCCTGAATAAAACAAAATATTAGGTGAACAACTTAATTTAAATGATTTTTTATGCAAGTATATTCTAACTTGTCCTTTATTTTCTGTAGCTTTGGCCAACAGGATAAAACAGTCATCAAATATTCCTTGGTAATAACGTAGTACGGATAGTAAATATAAATATCCAAAAGATTCTTTATTTACACTCAGTTCCTCAGCCAAACAAAGCTCTGCAAACTAAGTAAACGTTATTTTTATGGCTTGCCAATATGTTAGCTAATAATTCATTTTCAATACTTCAAAAGCCTTCAGTTTTAATAGAAGTGCAGCTGTTGGTAAGAAGATTCCAATTTTATTTTCAGCTTGCCAACACCAAATTAAATAATCTCTAGTTGTGAAATAATTGGGTAGTGAATGCGCCAATCCGCTTGTATGGATTTCACAGCTATTAAAGAAAATTTAAATTACTTTTGTGCCATATAAAATATTATGATTATTCGACTACTAACGCATATTGCAAAGTAGCATCCATTCCACAAATGTAGTCAGTTTTTTGGTAAAACAAATGCAGAACGACCCATCCTTCCATAAAATGTGGGTAAAAAGTTGTCAATCCTAAGAGAAAAGTTTCAGCTTTTTTATATTCACCGCGTTCTGCTAATAGTATTCCATGAAGCAGCATGCTACATGAAAAATTTTACAATAAATGTATTAAGAAATGTGTGGACAATTCATTTTCGTAGCAATACCTCATTTTATGTCTTAGATTGAATCCTAATGCTTTTTCAGTGCATTCTAAAGCACTATCGGGATCATTCTTGCTCAAATGGAACGCCGCGTAATCCAACCATTTATCAGGATCCTGCTTACTTGATGCAATATTCTATATACATATACAAAAAAAATAAATTTCAATAAATCAATTTAAAAATTGAATATGGTTATACCTCCAACAAAAACTGCTTTGCTCGTTCGGGCTCTCCCATGATATCACATTCCATAGCAAAGTGCCACTTGTCTTCTGCAGATATGATCGGAGAATTTTTAACAGTCAAAATTGGATCCACCGACATTTCTGTATTAATAATAAAGTGCGCTTCTTTAGATATATATGTGTATATATCAGTGACGAGATTCTGTAAAAAAATACTATATAATTTTGGTCTACGCTGATGACTTAAGCTTCACCTGATATTGTCTATACTTCACCTGATAGTCGAAGTTCGTGGCAAGAGTTCGCCCAATAGTAAATTTTTGGTTTATGAGCATTGAAACTTTTTCTATGAGTAGCTTTTTTATAAAATCATAAGAACCACTTTGTTTTAAATAGTCCATTATATTTTCTAATGCATTTTCTATACATTTTTCATCTGGCTCAAAAGCGATCTGAAAGATTTACGAAATCTTTGCCTGTACTTGTGATTTAATTATAATTACTTAATATTACGTACTTCGTTTTTCGAGAAAATTTTGAAATCCTTTAAAACCACGTTTATTGATGATCTGATAGCGTTGCGAAATTGCATTTCAGCCTCAAGGCAATCAGTTATAATTTTAGGTTGTTCAAAACGCTTCGGAATTAAATTATCAATTCTGAAAACAATTACGAACGTTACTAAAAATTATATATTTTAGGATATTTTTTTGAAAATTACTCGTTAGACAAATCAACAAAAGAGCGCTTCTCTAAAACTGGTCTCTTGAACTCTAATTGAACTATACAAAAGGTTGGTTGTCCACTTGCGTTTTTAATAGGAACAAGTGGTGTAATGGTTGTGGGTTCGGTGGGTGGTTCAATAATTTCTTGTGGAATTTCTGGTTCTTTTTTCTTTGAAGATTCTTTAGAAGATCCTTTTTTGGAGGATGTTTTTCCGGCCTATTATAAATTTTATATAATGTGCATAAGATGGTGAAATAATAAGAGTAATGAGCTTACCGCTTTCTCTTCTTTGATATTTTCAATTGGAGCGTTCTTGTCTAAAGTATTCAGTATGGACTTTTCCTCATTTGTATTAAGCTTAAGTTGTGCTTGGTCAAACTGATATAAAGGTGATGCCACTCGATATTTAGTAACTTTAAAGATAAATTTTATTGATTACTGTTCAAAAGTCCCCAAAAAAGTACTAAAAGTAAAATACCTCCTGGAAACATAAACGCTTTAAAATCAATCAAAGCCATACAATGCATATTATCTATCATTTTAACATTGATTGTTTCAGCCAGAAATTCAAATGGCCACAACTCTTGACTAAGACGACGTTCCATAAATTCTTGAGAGCTCTCATGAAGCCAATGTCGAGAAATCAAATCCCATTTAATACGCGGCACTTTTCCTATTAAAATATTTTTTAAGAAATTATCATTAAAAAACAGTTACTGGTTATTTTATCTTACCATAAATTGATTGTATATCTATATTTGGTACATCTACACGTAAATCTCCTAAATTTTTTTGAAATTTGCGTTCTTGCGATAATGCACCGCGTCCTTGGATTGACATCAACGGTGCCCAGATTTTATACCTCGTGGGACACCATTCTTCTTGTTCATTCAGAGGACCTTCAGGGAATTCTATAGCAATTCCAGCTTCTGGTTCTGATAGAGCTTTTTTCTTTTCATTTTCCTGGGCTTCCCTTGTCGCGAGCAAATCTTCCTCAGGCTAATATTAAATATGATCATTCTCATATTTTATTAAATCATTTTGTGTTTTTCATACTTACGCATCTTAAAAATTCGTCAAGCAATCCTTCTTTTCGATCAATGTTTTGGTACAATTCTTCCATTGATGGGATAGGTTCCTCTATCGTTTTGATTTCTATCGGCATTTCTTTGGGAAGCCAAGTGGCCGCTTTACAGCTTGATTCCCATATTTCAGGAGGATTATAAACAGCTTCCAATGTAATCTCTACTATGTTAAATTCTCTGGATGATAGCTTTGGCAAAGGGCGTTCAGAACTAGCCAGAACTTGAACTTGGGGAAGCAGTGGTCGCGGTTTCATAGAACTTCCAAATTGTTGTGGGCCAGGTTGTTCAATTTCAGTAGATATTGAAATGTCTTGTTCGCCTGTTTAAGTTTAAAAATTTAAGTAATGTTAAAGTTCAAGTGCGATATTAAAACAAGTACCTAGCAATATGGGCAAGATATCAAAGTTACAACAACCAAGTATTGAATCTGTTGTTTGCATATCATCATTTTTTTCTGCTACTGATCCTTTTTTGGACGCGGAGGTTTTACTAGTTGACTTAGCCGATGCTTTTGAGCTTTTTTTATCTTTCTGAGAGTCGTCTTTGGTTATGTCAGGTTGTGAAGACTCAACAACTTCCGGAACATAATCAAATGTTACTGCCGATTAAAATAATAATGAATAAAAGGAAATATCTATAAGTTTCATCAATCAATATGCAGCGATACCTAAAATTGGATTAGAACAAATTGTTCTGAAATAATTTTTATCCATGACTTCAACAGGAAGCTTAACTTTAAAGTTTAATTCCACTTCATCTTGATCTGATTCTACCTTGACTTTTGGTGACATCTCATCCACCAGATTACCTATCAAATGAAAAAGGTAATAATGAAGTAAGTTAAAGATCTAATTAAAATTTGCTTGTATTGTAACAAACAATTACTATAATTATGTGAAAATCCAGTATACTACAGTATTCAGAAATCTAAAGAAAAAATATATAGTTTACAATTTATGTCTAACGAATATTACCAGCAATTTCAATTTTGCATCCTATCTCAGAAATATGACTTTCTTTCAGATTTTTTACAGACAACACAGTGAAAGTGATAGGATTTATGAATTCAGGATCGATTTGAATTTGTGGTATTTTTTGATCCTCAGGTTCTTGAACTTTTTCCGGCTTTTCTTTGCCATTTTTCTAAAAAAAAACATTAATTGGTGGTTGAAATAGAATTATATTGTTTTCGTATTTATTTTTTTACCTTTGATGCAGATTTTTTAGGGCCCATTTCAATAATTATGAAATACGTTTGACCGTCACATTGGGCTTTGACGTAATTACACAATTTTTGTTTTATTTAGAAATGAAAATGCGTCAATTTTTTGGATATTGAGAGAAAATTTAATTGTGTTATACTAGGTATTGCAATAGGTTCACTCATTAATAATATATGATGAAAAATTATTGTTTTCTTGTCTATAGTGCCCTTAAAGCTGTCGGTTGATTAATTGTGATCACAAGTATTCTTGAAAATGCATTACGATGAATATAATGATGCAATCTAATGACTTCGGGTAATTAATCTCATAAGGCTAATATGCAAATTGTCGTAATATTTATTGCTATGTGGAAAGATCTTTCTTTCAGATTCTACTCATTTAAAAACAATTTGGTATTTTGTGCTAAGGCATAAACTGTGTAATAAAAAATTATATTGTTTGCTTCAAAATTAAATACGAAGTTAATTAACTTGAACTCTCAATGTTCAATATTTTTAAAGTTTTTCTACTCATAAATAACTTGGTCTTTCTGTTGTTTTTTTATCGGATGTTATATAAAAAAATTAGAATCTCCCAACTATTATTATTAAATGACGCTCGTGCAGATCTCGTCTGCATTCCATCTGCAAACATCCCTCCAGGCCAACCATTCCGATCATCTAGCAGTCGCCTGGATGTGCCCGAACTGGCCCGAACCACGCGGAATGCCAATCTCGGCGTGATCGAGCGCTTCGCAGATTTTTAAAATTATAATTATTACGGTGACTGCCGTAAGTAATAAATTCACAATAGACGAAGAATGCAGGTTTCTGAATGTGAGTGTACAGCTACCTGAGGTATGTAGCTGGTTCGAAATACATAGCCAGAACCAATGACCAATACAACCATTGGTAATATATATATATATACATATATACATTGATATATACTCATATTTATATAAATTTATATATTTATATGTATATATAATACGATATTACAGATGGTAGAAGTTCATGTGTCACACATACGAGCAGAAAATGGCCGACCGATATGAATCGAGTTTCACCAAATATTTTATTAATAATGGACACTAATGCGTATTTACAAGTAATTAAAACTAATAATTCAATAGGTTTTTTTAATATAAATATATACATTATCGTAATGCAAATCTACATTATAATAATGTAATATTGTTTTTTAATTTAAATTTTTAACTTCCCGTAGGGTAAGTTATTGTAATGGGCCGAAAATCGAAATTTAAAATTTTTACATTTCTCAACGTTTTGAAGGTTTCTGAACATTTTGGCATACCTCAGAAAAAATGGATGTGTGTGTATGTGTGTGTGTGTGTGTATGTATGTATGGATACAAATTTCCAGTCACGTTTTCGGGCGCACGGATCAACCGATTTGAATGGTTCAAAAAACATTCGATTCCTATCGATAGGGAAAAGAGCTGATTAGTATTTGGCAAAGGCAGGTCCAGCCGTTTGCAGGATACGGAGCAAAGAGTGCAGAAAATAGAAATCGACTTTTGAGAGTACGGAGTATCCGATTTGAATGATCTAAAAAACATTCAATTAATAATGATTGGGAGAAGTGTTTATTAGTTTTTGGCAAAAGCAGGCCCAGCCATTTCGAAGATACGGAGCTAAATATGTAAAAAATGGCAGTTTTTGAGAGAACTAAGTGTCCGATTTGAATGATTCAAAAAACTTTCTGCTTGTCTTAACAAAATAATTGATTTTGGAAAAAAAAATTGTTTCAATTTTTTTGTTTTTTTTTTTAATTTTTTGTATATCGAAAATAATTCATATTTTATTTTTAATTCTGACTGCAGTTCTAATTTACTTTGGACAAATAATTTCAACTTTGCAATTCAGTTTATATAATTCTTATAAATATTTGACAATGTTACAATATTTATAATAATCTATTTGAAAACATTCAGTATTCTTCGAACATTTCGTTACGGTACGGGAAGTTCCAGCAATTTGCCTTAAGGCACGATGCCACCCACCCCACTAGTAATTATTACTATATTGTTATTATATAAGTAATTTATATAAGTATATTATATAAGTAATTTACTAATAGATAATGAAGCAAAAATTAATA